GGGAGAGGCGGGGAGGAAGCAACTTACCCTCCCTCTTCTCCTGCCTCCTCCTGGCTGAATGAGGGCCGGAAGCGGGGCGGCAAGAAGCAGGGGGCGGGGCTTCGTCATGTGCCCCGCCCCCCGAACCTCACCCGGGGGAACTGCGATCCCCCGCGTTCCCCCCCCCCGAAATGACCTCTGGAATTATATATACCAGAGGACTCTCATCTTTTACCCCATTGGTAGGCATAACAATGCTTAAGAGTCCTGTGTACTAATAGGACTTATATGTGTACATACCCTCTGGACAGATTATTAGTGCAGTCATGTTTAACAGTGGCAATTGACTGTTCAGTGGGGAGAGGTGGGACTGGATTTTCCCCAGTCCAGCCCATAGCTCACCTCAGAGGTCACTGGGTCTGTCAGAACTGGAGGCAAGATAGTGCATGGACATCAGAACAAGAAAAGCTCCTTGTTGCTCAGACCAGTGAGCAAGCTTGACCTGGAAGATCTTATAGAAGTCATGGAATACTACATCACCTCCTTTGGCATATTGCTGTCAAGAGGCTTCCTTGGCCACAATGAGTAGTTTCCCTGCAGTTCCTCTTTCCTCTGAAAGTTGGTGCACATGAGTGGAATCTGCACGCACTAAGCTCCAGGTTCAAGAATACTGCACACTTGTATCCTAAAAGGTATTATCAAAGTGAGCCATGCCATCCACCCAACACAGATCCAGTTAAAAATGAATTACATTCAAGCCCAGGTGATGGACGTGGGGTTTTCCTCTTTACAGAACCCTTTGGCCATCAGTCTTGATGCATTCACTGATTGTTCTTGCTGCTTGTGGTATCTGTCTTTGTCTGGCTGTCTTCTGCATGCATATGCAGAAAAGCAACTGGATACTGTGAGAGTCTTGGAAGGGAGATAGCACCTCTCCATGCTGGACTGACAAGTGGAGTGACTTTTCCTCTTGTTGACTTGCAGGTATTTTAACTGCAGCTCTCCAGGTGTGCAAGCCTGTGGCGTTCCATCTTCCTGCTGCCTGGATCCCCTGGAAAATGGCACCATCCTAAATTCCCAGTGTGGCTTTGGTACCCTGGGCCTGGAGGAGGTTGTGGCGCAGAGCATCATCTATCTTGGGGGCTGTGTTCCCCAGCTGAGCAGATGGCTTGATAATCATGCTGGGGCAATCAGCTCCTATTTTGTATTTCTAATTGTGACTGAAGTAGGAAGCTTATTACTAGCCTCTAAGCTCCTGGCAGACATTGCATTTGCTAGGACTCTGTATTAGAGCTTCAGGGACAGAACATGTTTGGTCTCATATCGGCTGAGACAAAGGGGATTTTACTTATGACCTTCTGGGGATAATAAAAACAAAATAGAACCAGTATTACCTTATTTTAGTTAACTGCCTGTCAAACTGTGTTTGGTGGAGGGGGGGGGACTTTTGACCCTTATGTTTTTCTGGCTGTTCCTTCTCCCTTATTTATCAAGCTGGCCGGAGCTCTCCACCCCTCCAAACATCTCCTCCTCTCCACCCATCCAGTTCTATCACTACCATTCCTGTGTGTTCCTAAGCACACTACAAGGTTGCCAAATGGACTGCTGGGATATGACTGCTTTCCTTCATCCCTCAAAGGCAGTTTCTGAACTGGCCTTGACCTTTATGCCCTGTTGTTGGCCCTCCAGGGTAACTTGTTGGCCACTATGTGAGACAAGATGTCGGAATACATGGACCACTGGTCTGATCCAGCAGGCTCTTCTTATGTTCTTATGTACACTACTTCTAACCCACAAACAGGCTGCAAGGAGAAGGACAGAAGGATCAATGTGTCCCCTTCCCAAAGCTAGTACCTCTATTTACATTCTTCCATTAACTCTAATAAAACTTTGTATGACAGATCTTTGGAAATTGTTTGTTATACATAGATAGTATCTGATTATCTTAACTCGTGTGTGATTGGCACATTGTTGTAACCCGATAAACAACATTCACTCATCATAACCCCAAACCTCAATTTTTACAAATATTTGGGGTATATATCACTTAGTACAGCACATCCTCTTGGAGTTTTAAGGACATAACTTCAAATATATCGATTTATAGCATTTGTATTTAAAGCATTAGTTCTGTAGCAATAGTATAGTAACACGTTTTATGAAGCACTCACGGGTTGCAGTGAAGCAGCAAGAAGCACAGGAGAGGCTCATAGGAAAATGGGAATGCTTAGGGCAAACCATTCATTCTGGACGGACTGTGTGATTAAAAAAAACCCTTCTAATTTCCATGAACATACATGTGAATACTCTAAAAGCACAAAACACCTCTTGTAATACACTATGAACACATTGGATGTGGGGAAAGCATCTAAAAGAGCTTTACAGACTAAGAAAGCCAGAATGTGGTAGAACAAACAGACCATGTGGATTCTGGCTAGGACACAAGGTACTTGGACCTAGTGAAAAGAGAGTGGGGACTAGTAGGAGGGGAAGCACTGAGGGGCTCCATCCAGAGTAAACAAATGCTTCACCATCTGCTTGCGTTTACTCTCTCCTGAGTAAATTATTTTAGCTGAGTGTTGGTCTTTAACTAATGGAAGCTACTCTTTGAGGATGAGAAGTTCCCTGCTTCAGCCATGAGACAAGTTGTATCCATCCCCATCCCCGGCTTTTTAATATATGTACAGGGTTTGGGTGGGTTTTGGGTTTTTATGAATGATGCATTATATAGCAACAAACTCTGCTCCCATAATCTTTTCATCTTCATATTCCAGCCGTGCCAGTCAATAGCTCTTGGCTCCCAGTCCTAAATGGTTCCCGCACTTGTTAGGCATTGGTTGCCAAACAGTTGACAGTATCTGCATCCTGCATGGAATCAAAGCAGCCATTGTGTGTTTTCAATAGGGCTTCCAACTCTGAGTTGGGAAATACCTGAAGATTTGGAGGTGGAGGGTACTCAAAAGGTTGAGTATAACAAACTTAGAAATATAATAAAGTATTTATTACACAGTGTAACAATTAACAATTAAAAACAGGAGAGATAAAGAAGAAATGCTAAAATCCAACCTATAAAACTTGCACTTCAACTGAACATGAATCACATATCTACATCTACATTTATTTAGAATCACATATGTGAATATCTCATAAAAAGCCACTAAATCAGACACTTTTCAGCTCACAGAGCCTTCTTTAGTGGCCTAAAACCAAATAGCACACACTTAAAACCATTTTGAAAAGTTAAGGGCCAGGCAGGTTTCCAGTATTTCAATGTAAGGGGAGGCTTCACATGAAAATCAGGCTTGTATATAATTTCGAGCCAACGCACAAAGAAGGCAAGGTCTCTCACCAATTATTCTGTCTCTAGCTGAGTCTCCGGCATCTCTGTCCAACATTAGCACATAAGTGATGTCATAATGGTTCTGCAAGCTGAAAGACACATGCCAATTGCCAAACCTGTTTCGAGGCTTCTGTTCTGGTTTATTTAATGCACGAAGGCTTTGGTTCCAATTGATTTGCAGTCCCGAGGAAGTTCGACTGAAAACTGCTTCCAGTCCAGTATAGCGTGTTGACTGCTTCAATCTTCTTTTAAAAAAGGAAATACAAAGAGACTTGAGTTGTGAGAACTAACGCCACCTTGTGTATTTATATGCTCGTTGTGCCTTGGAAACTGACTTTTTGAATTGTTAATATATATAACAGTGTGTCACTTGTCATTATTATTATTATAATTGTTTGTTAGCTTTACATGGTGTTGTAATTTTTCACCCACCTGGAGGTTGACAACCCAACAAGGCTGCGATCACACACACTAAATAATCTACATTCATTCCACTTTCAATGCACTTTCCAACTGGATTTTTACTGTGTGAACTAGCAAAATCCAATTCAAAAGTGCGTTGAAAGTGGATTGCAAGTGGATTATTTAGTGTGGGTGATCGCAGCCCAAGTTTCCAGGGGAACTGCGACCCAAAAGACCGCATCTCCTAACCTTCTCCAGAGCTGGCTGCATTTCTGACACAAACTGTACGTGAAATCTCTTGTACTGCAAGAGGGGCAATGTGGCAGTGTGTAAAGAATAACTGAGCCCCTTAAACAAAACAGACGAATCTCACTAACACAGAAGGAGAGTTTCTTGATCTGGGGGGCTTTCAGAATGTTTTATCTCATATTGAAGAAATGTCACTTTGGTAGCCCATATGACAGGCCAAGAAAAAGAGTAGAAGTAGGCAAGGCAGTGTGTGCAATGCCTCCCACTGCTGGTGTCCTAGAGCACATCAGGCACAAAGGGAGCTGGAGTGCAGCCTGTGCGGGAGTGGAGGAGCCTTTCTCTCTCTGCCACAGCCAAGCCTCCATCTCCTTTTGTGTCTGGAGGCAAGCTGACTGTGAATTACCAGAAGGGAAGAAGGGTCTCTTGCCCAGTTCCCTTTCTGCCAAGCTCCCCTCAGAGAAACAAACCAGGATGGAGACTGATCTGCTGAAGGAAGAGACAGCCTCTTATGGAGACGACCTGTTTGCATTGATGCACAATTTCATGGCCATTGGCTCCTGACTATACACAGCCCCTAAAGGAAAGCAGGGTGCATTGTACCAAAAGTCCAGGGGAAACGTGTGGCAGGACCTTTTACGCTATTATTTTATATTATTTTTAAACTATTATTTTTATACTATTATTAAGAATGGCTTAGAGGGAACATTGGTGGTGACCTCAGCAAGGTATAATAACCAAGTCCACTGTTTTCTCCAGGGGAACTGATCTCTGTCATCTGAAGAGCAGTTGTAACTCTGAGTGATTTCCAGCCCTCACCTGGAGATTGGCAACAATGGTTCCCCAGGAGAAAATGACTGGTTTGGAGGATGGAGTCTATGGCATTATGTCTGTCTGAAGTTACACCCCTCCTCAAACCTCACATTCTCTAGGCTCCACCCCTTAAATCTCCAGGAATTTCCCGACCTGGAGGTGGTGACCCTATCTCCTTCCCAGCCAACCATCAGCTTGCCTTTATCTTCCCCTCTGACTTCAGCTTTCCATCTGCTCCCCGCTCCCTGCAGCCTCAATTTAGGACGAGTACAGTCTTTCTCCACAGTGGGGACCAAGGCAGTTCACACCATTCTCCTCTCCCCCTTTTGATCTGCACTACAACCCTGTGAGGTAAGTTAGGCTGAAAGTCTGTGACTGTTCTGAAATCACCCATTCAGCTTCCACAGCAAGAACCTGGGTCTGGCAGACCCTGCTCTGAAGCACTGCTATGTCACACTGGCTGTCATAGGGTGTCATAGTATGCAACTGCAATAAAAAAGGCCAACACTACATTAGGGTTTATTAGGAAGGGAACTGAAAACAAATCAGCCAGTATCATAATGCCCCTGTATAAACCGATAGTGCAACCTCATTTGGAATACTGTGTGCAATTCTGATCACCACACCTCAGAAATGATATTATAGCATTGGAAAAAGTGCAGAAAGGGGCAACTAGAATGATAAAAGAGTGCTTGGGGCTCTTTAGCTTGGAGAAACAATGACTGAGGGGTGATATGATAGCAGTTTACAAGATTATGCATGGAATAGAGCAGGTAGAGAAAGAAGTCCTTTTCTCCCTTTCTTACAGTACAAGAACTCGTGGGCACTCAATGAAATTGTGGGATAAAAGAATAAAGAATGGCTAAAAGGAAGTACTTCTTCACCCAAAGAGTGATTAACACATGGAATTCACTGACCCAGGAGGTGGTGGCAGCTACAAGTATGGACGGCTTCAAGAGGGAATTGGATAAACATATGGAACAGAGGTCCATCAGTGGTTATTAGCCACAAGATATAGATAGGAACTCTAGGTCTGGGGCAAGTGATACACTGTATTCTTGGTGCTGGGGGGGCCAACTCCTGCTGCTTGGGAGGGGGGAAGAGTGGGAGGGCTTCTAGTGTCCTGGCCCCACTGGTAGATCTCCTAGTTTTTTTGGCCACTGTGTGACAAAGTGTTGGACAGGATGAGCCATTGGCCAGATCCAACATTGGCTTCTCTTATGTTATATTCTCTTAGGATTAAGCTACACTAGTTGGAGAGCATGAAGGAACTCATGTTTAGATATTTGTGTTGGTGAAAGTAACAAGTTTCTTAACAGTACTGGCTCTCTCGGGAAGGAGGAGCTCAAAGCACAAGACAGGAAGTACCACTTCAAGCACTTTCTCACTGGTACTCTGCACCAACCCATATTGGCCTACTTTCAGCCCTGTTTGTTCATTTTATTTGTGTGTGTTGTAGCTGCAGAGCTGATATACTTGAATTTATTAAT